TTTCAAAGGGGGATAATTAATGTTGGATATGGACGTAAGGGGCTGAATATGTATATTTACACTTATCACAAAGAGAGGTTGAGGTGTTCTTGATAGTGCTTTTAACTAAAATGAGGTATTTTTTAGCATAATATTATTTTTATTTATTAATAATTTATTTTAAAAATATTAAAATTTAATTCATAAACAATTATGATAAATAAAATTAAATTAGATAAGAAGTAAAAAAATCTCTAAAAAATTTTTGTCCAAGAAAAATTCTTAAAAATACTCTCACACAAGATAAATGTTTGATTGTATATATTTTTCTTTGATTTTTTAACAATAAAAAAATAAATAAAAAATTATAAAAATCCAAGAAAAAATATGAGAGAAGCAAACCCAAAAAAATTAAAGATGTTCTATTTTTTAAGTTTTAAAAATTAAACAAGAAATATTAGTTTTGAAAACAGTTTTTTTTTTTTTTAAAAGGGTGAAACTTAATTAGTTGCGGCAATTTCTTAGGTATTTTGACGGTGTTTATAAATCAAAATTGGAGTTTAATTTTAAAAAAAACTATACTAACCATTAATGCAAATATTTATTAGGCGAATTAATGAAATAAAACTCTAATTTTAATTAAAAAATAATGCTAAAATTAAAAAATAATGCTAAAATATATAATTAAGAAATCATATTCAAGTTATGTAGTTTCAAAAATTACTCCTATTAAAGATTAAAATGACAGATAATTATATATATTTTTAGTTATTTTAATAGATAGAGTTATATTACCAAAACATTCAATGAGTAAAAAACTAATTTATTTGTTCTTTCTTAAGTCTCTCTTGTTATCTAACGTTACAGTGGGACATTGATCATATCCCTAAACCCTAAATCCTAAACCCTAAACATTTACTCCAAAACAGTCATCTTCATTTTGGTAAAACTCATCTAGAGATGCTCTGGACTCTGACGAGCTGGGTAAGGAGGACTTTGAAGATTCTCCTTTCTTTTTGAGTAAAGCCAAAATATCTTAAAGATTCTTGGCAAAACTTTCTTTGGTCTTTGCAGCTGCTAATGAGGCTGTGATTTTTGCCTTCTGGTTGAGAAACATTGAAGTTTCTGGATCAGCTGTTTTCAAGTAGTTTGTATTAGAGGTAAACCAATTTGCTCGGCTAGCATCAAATTGGGGCCACCATTTTACAAAGGAATTCCTTTGAAATGGAGGAGGTCTTAATGGGTGATTTGATTTCCCAAATTTATATTGCCATGAAAATATCCAAGACAGCGAAAAGCTTGAGAAAAATTGAAGGTATGCTGGAATCCATGTATTCTGGCCGTCATACATAGATTTAAAAACCTTGAAACCTTCATCTGCTGGAGAAGGGAGAATTTCTTCAATTGGACCACAAAAGTCCCACCATTGGAGGAACCAGTTAGGAATCTTGTATTGAGTATTTCTTTTGAAATAGATAAGCCATGAGTGGCGATTGGTTTTATTTTGATACCAGAACGTTTTAGTCCAAGCATCAATATAATCCCAATAATTATATCCAATAGGGTCAAAAAGCATTGAAAATTTTCGAGTATTATTCGGGTTTTGGCCAAACTGGCTAGGAGTTAAAACTTTTAATATTTGGAAAGTTGTATGGGTTATATTAGAAGGATCTTTTGGATCCTTATAATGTTTGATTGCGACAGAATCTGTATCAACCAAAATAAACTCATAGAACTTTCTTGTTTTATTGAGGGCAAAAGGTTTAAAATGAAATAACTCGGAAAAAATTTTATTTTTGGGATTTTATCCCAAAATTCAAGTTCCATTTGAACGATAACTGAAATCTTATTTTTTGGGACATAATGAGATTGAGATGTTTGGGGCTTTTTTGATTGAGTCAAAGTCTGGGTTTGGGAAGTTGATTGGGTTTGTTTTTTCTGGTAATTTACACTGGAGGAGATCCATGGCTTTATCTTCTCCTTCATCTTCTTCTTCTGACATAAGGTCAGCCCAAGTCTTGTTTGGAATTGAGGTTAGACTCTGGGATTAAAGATTTAATAGGGTTGAAATTGAGATTGGGATGGCATAATCTAGTCATTGACTCAATCCCAACCTAGTCAAATGGTTGAGTCATCTACTCAACAAACCCACCACCAAACACCAAAGCAAACCAAGGTAGATTATGTCCCAAACATCTCAATCAAAAACAAACCCAAACATCTCAATCTCATTATGTATCAAAATATAAGATTTCAGTTATCGTTCAAATGGAATCTGAATTTAGGGATAAAATCCCAAAAACAAAATTTTTTCCGAGGTATTTCATTTTAAACAGTTCCTGTCAAGTTACCGGTTTTATAGAAACAATAATTTTAAGTCTTTAAAAGGAGGCCTCGACCATGATGTGAGGCACCCCTTTAATTGAGAATACAAGAGAGTCTAGAGAGAGAAGCTCTGAGATATTTCTTTGTAAGTTTTTCTTTTAATAAAAAGTTTCTTTCTCCATCTGCTTTCTTTACATTTTCTTGCATTTATTTCCTGTTCTTGCATCCAAACTTTCGGTATTGTGCGGACTACTACCGTGTAAACCGGGTCCTCCTTTTCTGTTCTTGCATGTAAATTTTCTGGTATTGTGCGGACTATCGCCGTGTAAAATCGGTCCTTTTCTGTCCTTGCATGTAAATCCTCCGGTATTGTGCGGACTACGCCGTGTAAACTCGGTCCTTTTCTGCATTCTCATTCCATTTTCTTTTAACATTCTTTTCTTGTCCTTATCTCCCTTTTCTATACCCTCCTAGATCCACTTCGGGCGCATCTGGATATATATATATATATATAATA